CGTTCTCTCGGTACGTGATCCTGGTTCCTCTGCCAGGTTGACTTAAAACGTCACATTGGCAAACGTAATTTAAAAAATTCGGCCATGCATGATGGTCAATTCTAGCCTTAACAGTGCACTATACAGCGGAAATTTAGATAAAATTCTCTATCAATGTGTTCGAAATTCTTTAAAATAACTCTGAACTTTATGAATGATCATGATCAGAATACAGTTTCTCATTTGTAAACAAATTGAATCCATCATAAAATTTCAAATCATACTATCCTATTCACAAAACTTGAAAATGGATAAACGGAATGAAATTAAAAATAAATCAATTGTATCAATCATTCATAATAGCGGTAGGTATCGGTACCTTATTCAAATTAATGTCATTACGCAATGAACATTTCTAGCTCATTTAGCATTGTTCTCGAAACTTCCCGCAACCTATAACTTTACTAATAAGAGCGATAATGATGGTTTATCCCACTCACGGTACCTAGTAAAATTGTAACATACATATGTTTGAATAATATTTTTCCATTCGCGTCAAAAATAAAAATAATGTAATCGTCAAAATAAGCTTCGCTTCGTTCGCCTCCATTTTGTGTACTGAGGACGAGTTCATGAACGAAAGTTCGTCGAAAAAAAAACCTATCGAGCTAAAGAGTCTCACGAGGCGCTATATATGCAATAGCGCGATGTATGAATGTAAATGAACAAGATAAATTAATGAGAAAATTGTGTAGATATTTAGTGCATGCCTCACAGGACTAAGTATTGATCTTTTAGCATATAAACAATAGAACTGGACTTACAGCATCAAATTAATCCAACAGGCCCATTAATTTTTTAACAGTTTGAGGAATTCAACTGTTTTGAAAAAAAAAATCAAATTCTATACATCCAAGTCCCGTACGCTGGCACCAGGTGTTGTCGATCCGTGCCTTGAAAGGATCAAATCTCGGCGCTGTGCAGGAAGTCGTAAGAATGTTAGCGTCAAAAGAGGACCGCGAGGGAACGGATACGAAAGCGAGAGGGCACATTCCGTCAACAGAACCACTGCTTGATTCATTTAGTGTTCAACTTCACATTCGCAGAATGAAGATCCAATATAATTAAAATCGAACGCATTTCCACACATATGGCTCCATCCAATACCGTGCGTCAATGGTGTACGATCTAAAAATGTTAGCTATTCTATCCGTCACCTCGTAATCTCCCCAAAAGGAATTTTCTGCTCATGAAATTCTGAAGCATTACGCCGTACAAGTCCACAGTAGCAAGAGACCGACAGAATATTTTTGGTCGGGAATGTTGCCACGTGAGTTTAGGGCAGCCATCCCCCAACATTTAGGCTTAACCTATAATGAAACTAGGATTGTCTTCCCACGGCACGATAATGAGAGAACTGCAGCAGCTGATGATCGCCAATCTGAACACACAAGACCTGTGCCAAGAATTGCACGAAAAATAATCATACAACCACTGATGAAGCTCAAGACAAATTGCACCGTTTTATTAAACGGTCCTAACAGATTTATTAACATTTTTGTGAAGCTGCATAATTGATTACCTCGTCAGCGCTGCAGAAACGAAACGAAGACCGAAAGTCTCACAGAAATGACTTGAGACTTAATCTACAATGGCTGTAATCAAACAGAATAAATTATTAGGCAAAAACGATTGTAGCTCCAGCCGTTAAAAGAACGAATACTGAAATAAAGAAAAAGCGGTTAGCTCCCATCGGTCATTCCAACCTATAGAAAGAGCAGGCCACATTTTGCCAAAAACTATCATGTAAAGCGAATGGAAGCCTGAGCAATAATTCAAGTGACAACACAGCCAAGTTTAACGCTCATTGCAAAAAACTTCACCGAAGAACGACTCTCCAAGTCTAGAACCTTCAAGGCCTAGCACGAGACCTATCAGTATTCCTATCACCGCAGCATCGGAGGCTCGCTCACAAAATTGGAACTAACGACCGCACGATGGTAGCACCCTTCTGGCATCAAACTCAAAACGATGAAAAGTGCTATCGCCTGCTCATTCAGGCGATAACGATCTGCGGCTGGAGTTGTAGACATTTCAATGCGGTGACAATTTGTGAGAGGACAGACCGATAGGTACAAAAACGCGTTTTCCCTCATGACATGAATGTATAAAAAAATAAGATTGATGCATGCTAAGCAAATATTGCCGAAAATTTAGAGTCTGGCAAAAGGTAATAGTAATGAGTTTGTGACGCGATATCAGTATAATTATATAAAGAATGAAAAACGTTACACCTTGCATTTTAATGTCTATAGGGTTTGACCAACTTTCACAACAATATGAGGTCTGAAAAACAATACAAGGTCAGACAATTACACCAGCCTGGTGATGGGTCGCAAGCCGAACACTGTAACAATACTCTGGCATTGTAAAAATAAGTGAATATTGCAACAATATAGCTCGCCAGCAACAATATCACAAATTTGTAACACTAACGTCGGTCAGTAACACGATTGCCTGGCAATAACTCCAGTACTGGCCAGTAACTATTACCCACTAACAACTCTATTTATTGCTGGCCAGTAAGGCCAAGATCACACCATAGTGGCAGGCACGTGCTCGTATATGCCAGTTACGGTTAGTCCAATATTATTTAATGCATTATTTCTTCAGAAGCATTCACACCAGTCGTGCAAGGAACTTGCCTGGCAGGTAACAGTAATGCCGGCAGGTAACAGTAATGCTGGCAGATAGCAGTATTGCGGGCAGGTAACAGTAATGCTGGCAGATAGCAGTATTGCGGGCAGGTAACAGTAATGCTGGCAGGTAACCGTAATGCTGGCAGGTAACAGAAATGCTGGCAGGTAACAGTAATGCTGGCAGGTAACAGAAATGCTGGCAGGTAACAGTAATGCTGGCAGGTAACAGTAATGCTGGCAGGTAACAGTAATGCTGGCAGGTTATAGTAATGCCGGCCGACAACATAATTGATCCACCTTAATTATTGCGGTACCTTACTGAGCATTGTGGCAATGAAGGGAGGATTACGCGATGAGATTTCAGTACTAAATCAATTATAGTAATGTAATGAAGCTGCTAGAATGACATTGAAGAGTCAAAAAATACCAGGGTACTTCAACCATAATGCTGTAATATCAACAATTTTTTAGGCGTCAGTATTCCAGCTAACATTAGATTACTCAAGTTTTCGTATATTTCTTTAAAAAAAAATTATATCGCATAGCAGGAACGCTTAATTCGCTATTACAATTGCATGGTTTTTCTAAAAAAAAATACCTCTGGTCATTTCTGCTATGCATGTAAAAAATCAAAACATTCACAAGTGTTTCAACGGATCTACCTTTTTTACAAGTACAATTGTATCGCAATGTATACGTCTGTTGTGCCGTGGAACTGTGTTCAGGGGACCAGCGCAAATTGGGCCGTCTGGAAGTCCCTGACTTTTCTCCGAAAGCAGACTATCAGGGTACAAATCATGGAACAGGTTCGTGCAGGTACTGTTGCTCAAGAATATTGCGTAGCATCTTGGCACCCAATCGGCTCCTTTCGGAAACTTCCTTAAACTCACGTCGTCCATAACTTTATTAACTTACAACAGTAAAGGGCACCCCGAGCTCACTCTCAACTATCGGCACGATTTACTCATGACAGAAGTAATACCGTAACTTGAAACAGGAGTTAGATCAACAGGCTTCGAGACAAAAAAATACCAACTAACATTCATTGCGTTCGAAAAAATTAACGAGAGGTCGATTTCTATTGATAATGAATGAGAGAGGCAACGATATTGAATCGTTTATCTGCCACCAACAAGAAGCTTCTGATAAGGATGAGTTACCAGAATGCGCATTGAGTACTCACACGCAACGCGATACCAAGTATAACTATTCCATCAGCAGAGGATTTGTTTGCAATGCGACATGTACTCCTCTAGATCAGCCTCAAGTAAATTTCAGCTAGCGGGCTTTCATAAACGATCCTCCCGAAATTTCGGCGACCGACCGAGCGTGCAACATAGTTGGCGAGCAAGGTTTTGAAATGTTGGCGCACAAGATTCGGGTGGAGCAAACACTTGCGACCCAGAGTTTGTGCCTCCATTGGCGAACGTTTTCAATCGCTAGAATTGAGATAATGGCTTTTGCTCGAGGATCGCACGTTTGTTGGGCGTTAAGAGATTAACAAATATACATAGGTAATACATAAATAAACGTCGAACGGCCGGGCCAATTTTACGAATTGTGGTACCATAAACTACCAAATTAGACGATTTCTTCAATACTCCCTTTAAACCTCCCTGAATTCCGATATTTGAGAAAACGGTCTAGGAATGAAATTTTAGCAGCTTATCATAATTTAGTGGGTAATGGAGATCTCACAATAGCTTTCGCTACATACTGAATAACTTTAGTGTGATGAACTAACTAAATACTAGAAAGCTGAGTTTCAATTGTCGGATATATAGAGTGAATTGTATACTGTTAGGCCTACGTTTAGAAGCAAAAAGGTTTCCCTGGGGGCTGGGCTTCTTACAGTAATGGCGTCAGTGATTAGGCGGGATTATTCCAACAGGAGAGGTTCTTATTCATCGGTGTCAGCGATTAGGTTGGATTATAAAAGCAGGTCTTTATTCATGTTACATAACAAACACAAAAAAGGCTAAATTCAACAATACGTAGGCTAAGCTAAAAAATATTAATAAAAACATTCCTTGTTCGCATTACCACAGGCTTGATTAGCGCCGCGAACTGTATCTCCAGAACCGCAAAACGCAAGTTGCTGGGTTTCGCATTGTGCTGCAGAGCCCAGGAGCGGGTCAGAGAAACGTTCAATAGGAAGGTAGGATCCTGCAGGGTGGCACCGGTAGGCACTAAAACATCTCGGTTGCTCTATTGATCCGTCGTCCTATACCTGCAGCCCATGCCAATTCTTGAAATTATAGCTAAAGAACCTACATAAAAAATGTTCGAAACATTCTGAGAACACACGGTCAGCGTACTCACTTAGTGAAAGACGTCTCCATTGTACTTTCTTCTTGGATTTCTTCCCCATCGATAGTTGACGTTATGTAATGTTTGAACGAGGCCGAGGGAAACACTTCAATTCCACACTGCCCGCAAGTCACATCCCACCTTCGCTCGCGCTAACACACGTGATACTGATGGTCGCCGCTGCATAGCACCATAGCCTCCGCCGCCAACCCGCTTTCTGGCTGACATAGCCGACTGGCGACACTCCTAGATTAACAGGCTCATAAGAAATTAATAAATTGACATTGAACTAACATTAACGAGACGTTTGAATTACTATATGTATACCATGAATATTTTAACGTCATTATAATGGTTACAACAACAGATAATATCCTGTCATGGCCGATAACATCCTCTGTTGGATCTTTCCACGTGGGGTTGCGTTTGTATATATTGTCCTCACAAAACATTACAATTTCCAATGAAATTGCAGAAATTTAATTTTAGCATGAAAACTGGTTTTATACAACAAATAAATTTTATACAACAGAAAGGTCGACTCTGTGGCGTGAGAAGAACATGATGCATATAGGCGAACGTTTTTGTAGCTCTCAGGCCAAGCGTCGCCGGTAGTCAGCTGACCGGCATGGCGGCTAGCTGCGGTTGGCTGCCGCAGACTTTTCTAGACTTGCTATAGACTGCCCTGCGGCGTTAGCATCAGGGCAGGGCATCAGCTTTCTTCAGACACTGAAACAACTCCAGCGATGGTTGACCACTATGTGCTCCGTGCATCTTATGATGATAGCCATCAATAGTCCTGAAATAACTTAGTCGCAGCAAGATGAAGCTTTCATCATATCATTCATATTAGTAATCTAATGATGAAATAGTCCATACAGGATTTTTGACGTCACGTATTGACTATTTACAATTTGTTTCTATGTGAATGGCAGTAATTTAAGTCGACGCTTAGTGGTCGGATATCAGAAGAAAGATATTGGGCAATATTTTCAAATCCTAATCTAATAAATGATGTCCTCAGTCGTGCTTCATGGTTCTTGACTGAGCTAGGCCATCTAAAATTGAGCGGGATTCAAGCTGAAATCTCGGCACCAAACAAAAGCAGTACGTTGAAGCATGTTAGGAAATTTCATGGCTTAAATCGCGAATTTTTTCTCGCAGTTTTTTATCGGCAGATTTCCGTACAATGTTCAGTCATTTTCACAATTCATTGTGCAAACAACGATTTAAATGAGGTAACAGTAATGCATCCACTCCTTAATTGATTTTTTTCTTGAGTGAGCACTATAATTTTTCTTATGATTATTTACTTAAATTGTAAATGTGTGTTTGCTTCTGCTTCAGTAATAAAAGGCAGACTCTGATGTGCGTAATGAAATGTTCCTAACCTTCTGGGAGTAGAACTGTGTTATGATCGAACCTAACTTTTAAATACAATCGGAATCTGCCTTTCCTTCTACTCTACATATTTTTTTCTTTCAATGACTAGGAATTGCCCTGAGGTTAAAATTAAAACATCGTGGCCTAAGATTTAAAATTGGATGCAAGGTTGTAACTATAGAAATACTACGCTATTATCGCGCATTAGCAACTCAGCTTCACTTTAGGTAAATAACTAGCATTTCTTCGTTGGTATCTGATGAAGTCGATCGGCTTGATGTACATTGTACCATATGAGATATGACAAAGTGGTACCTCAAAAAGCCCATGCAGTAAGCTCCTCTCTTCACTTGTAATGGTTGTCGGCAATACAATCGCCACATATCATCATTGTAAATCCTGAATTAGTACTCGTATTTATAATACTAATATAGCAGCTGGACTATATGTACTACTTGATTTGTATTTTGTAAGAGTGCGGTAAGGGTTTATGAGCCCATAATTTCCTGAAAATTTGCCAAATGATTGAAATATAAATAATTACAGACTGCTTTCGGTCGATAAATTCTCCATAACATGTTTCACCTATCACGGCCAGTCAGGAACGCAACAGCCGCAATCGGTGGAATCTTACTGTACTAAAATGACATTTTTGGTCCACTAAATTATTATTTGGATTCGTTGTATTTCGCAAGCTTGTCTCACTAGAATGTCAACTCTGTTAAACTGTTAAAAGGTGTCTCTCCGATACTTGTTGGGGCTGCGGAACGCGATCTCATATTATTAATTCCGAGACTTATTTCTTGAGGTGAGTTATTTTCTCGATTTTTTTAATATCCGTCGATGATAATTACGATCGCGATCTTTGTAGGGTATTATTAATTTAATACAGCTTTCATAGAAAACCAGAAAGAATTTATTATTGACAATTTCTAAATTGTTTTACTCTATTCGGGGAATTAGGCTTTTGATAGGAAATGAAAATTCAAATATAAGTTTCCAAGAAACATTTTAGTAGAATTTACGACGTTTCGAATGTAACTATAACATTCATTATATAGATTAGGGGAAGAGTTTTGCAACACTTGAATTTGAAATATTTACATGACGTTAGTACCAACATAGGGTATAATGGATACAGATTGAAAAAAAAGGCTTAATTACGAGAACAGTTTCAACGTCCTTACACATCGGTTAGTTTGTAAATTGATAGCTGGAGACTCGTGCCTGATAATGAGAGCCTCGGCTATCGCCAGTCTCGCGGCGTTCGACACCTCATGACGATGCCAGTGTAGCTAGTGTAGGTCTATATCAGTGGTTCCCAAACTTTTTTTCAGGCTGGCGCCCCCTTTGGCTCCCTAGTGAATTTCTAGCGCCCCCCCCCCAGACACATATAAAAACATACGCCTCTTTCTTGAATTTAGTACGCTGCAATTTTAAAAGATAAAGGTTAAACACAAATGTGTATTTCACGAATAGAACCCCATTTAGTGAACCAATATGTTTTTCAGCTGTTTTAACTGTTTCAGCTCTAGAAACCTAGGACGTCTCGGGCAAATGTACGGCCGGACTCGTGGCCGGTCGCACGACCAATCTCAAAATTCAATTATCAAGTAATATCTCCCAAACTAATGAACGCAGTTCAATGAAACTTGAAACACGTATTCATCAGAACCCAACGCGGATTTTTAGCTCGAAAAAATTATTAAATTTTACCTTCATTAGTCAATTATATTGCGATACAGGCCAAAATTCGCAGTGATCACAGAATTTCTTCCAAACTACTGAGCAGATTTTAACGAAATTTTGAATATATATATTCCTAACTACCAAACGGTGATTTTTTTAGCTTGTAAAAAAATTTTCGATTTTACCTTCGTTTGTGATTTTTTTATTTCACCGTCATTCTTGATTTCACACTTCCTTATATTCGGAGCATATCGCCGGATAATTATTAGTCGCTTAAATTCGCGGCGATCAAGAAATTTCTTCTAAACTACTGAACAGATTTCAACGAAACTTTGTATATAAATACCTAACTTCCCAACGGTGATGTTTAGCTCGTGACAATTTTTCTATTTTGCTTTCGTTCGCGAGTAATACAGATATAGGAGGAACGACCGGCTTTTCTACCGGCCGATTTAACCAGGAGCCGTTTACGTATATCCGGATACGTATAGCCGTATAACTCGCAAACGAAGGCAAAACGAAGAAGTTGTAGCGAGCTAAACATCACCGTTGCTGAGGTTAGGTATTTAAATACTAAGTTTCGTTCAAATCTATTCAGTAGTTTTCGAAGAAATTTCTCTATATTTCTCGATAGTATTTAAGCACGTATTGCTGTTTAAATCACGAATGAAGGTGAAATGAAAAAAAAAATCGCGAACAAAGGCGGAATGAAATAAATTTTCACGAGCTAAACATTACCGTTCGTTAGTTAGGACTGTAAATTCAAAGTTTCGCTCGAATCTGTTCAAAGGTTTGGAAGAAATTCCTTGATCCCTGTGAATTTCGGCCCGTATTGCCATATAACTGGCAAGAAAAAAAAATGAAGGCAAAATAAAAAAAAATTTTACGAGCTAAACATTACCGTTAGGTCCTAATAGAATAGAATAGAAGTGTCGGCGTTGAAGACATAGGCCCATGGCCTGTTGCCGATTCTTGAACTTTTCGTGACTTGATTCACAAGGGATCCGGCCTTTGGAACCCGACCTTTCCATAACTGACGATTGATTGAGATAGCTGCTGGACTTATTGCCTGCTCCGTAATTTGCTAGGCATTTTAAGACTGAACATATGCTCCTGCATAGCTTCGTCTAGTCTGTTTTTGATTTTCACCCCGAAAAGTGAACATGTAGCATTGTTTTTTGTTGCATTGAGATTTAATTTCTTTTGATAGTATTTTTGAATACTATGCGTCTCTATACATAATTTAAATCACTTTTCCTGTTAAGTTTGTGTACTTACATACATTAAAATACGATTTTTCAAGTGTACGAATATTTATTTCCCCCCACTGTAAGTTGTGCTGAATAACATCAGAAGCACAACCGCAACCTACCAAATCAATTTCATGATTTCCTATACAACATGAAAATCGAGAATTAAAAAAAAATCCATGAAAATACTTGGGACCATTACAAGAAACTAATGTTATTAACAAATATTCATGCCACAAAGAAGGTTGTAGACTCCTCCAGAATGTAAATTACATCGGTTTGCCCAGCACGACTTTGAGCCGCCGTCTAACATGCCACTTCAAGAAGAGAGGACCGAAGAACCACATGAAAGAGGCTCACAGTGAGACCCTCACTATGTAGCGCTACGTTGGAGACCAGCACCAGCATCGTTATGAGGTGCCCAGACACCACAGGACAGGCGATAGCTGAAGCTCTCATCATCAAGCATGAATCTCCAACAATCAATATGTAAATTCCGGATTTGTAAGGACGTTGAAACTGTTTTCGTAATTCAAGCTTCGATTTTCAATCTGTACCCATAATACGTCCGATGTTTGTACTAACGCAATATCCAAATTTCGATTTCGAGGGTTGCAAAACTTTCCTTTACAAAATTTACAATTCCTATGAAAAGCCCAATTCGCCGAATTGAGAAAAACAAATTGAAAATTGCACATAAGAAATACTGGTCTTCAATGAAACCTGCACAAATTCTACCGAACTACACCATTATTATTTATTTCTGAACTGAGGTTTAGTTCATTTTTTGAGGGGGGGGGGAGCTGCTCTAAAACCGGCAAACCATTGTTAATTGCTGTCGTAGCCGAAGCAAACTTCTTTTG